GGTAACTTTTTAAGGCCTATCCTGAGACAATATACGTAACGTCTCTTGCACTAATTGCTGATTGCATCTGCAAGTTTTCAAGCGCTACATTCGGATAACAACTGTACTTTAGGACGGCTAGCTACTGGCAGTAACTGCAACTTTTCGAAGATACCTTACGAAAGTAATCGTTACGTTGCAAAGGGTTAATTACTGTGACACACGTAACGTTCCAAGGTTACTGGAACATCTTATCTACGATTGTCGACAATAGCTACAGGCATGGTTTGTCGAACTTTAATATAAATTCGCTGCGATAAAAATGTATTGTTAAATAGTTATGGCAAAAGGCTACGTAGCAAGTTGTTTTGCCTGAGTTGATAATTTTCCCGTTAAAGTCTGAATACAAATGTTCCTCGCGGTAAAATAAATCCTTGGGAAGCAATGAAAGCAGAGGTGAAGAATCTATCCGTGTGCGCGTACGGCCGTACGGGGAAATTTTTGAAAATTTATTAGCATCTGGGGAAATTTTTTGGAAAATAATTTTCCCTCGTAGGAAACTATTTTCCCCTCGTAGGAAAATACGTAAAAATAGATGCAACTGCTATACAACAACAATATGCGGAATGGAAACAAAGATGTTTACTTGAAATGGAAGATAAATATACATTTGATATATGGACAACAAATGGGAAAATAATTACACCGAAAGTAGTGAAAGCATTTTATACAAATAAAAAACTAGCAGATGGTATTTTTAACGACAAACTGGATTGGAGTAGTTTACCGCCACCCTCGGCATAGATGTGTATTCACTACTTCATGTATCCAGAGTGTGTCTATTGCACATTCAACACAAGCTTATATATGACAGAGAAACAAAGAGAGAGAGACGACACATAGAGAAGAATAGAGAGAGAGAGGAAGAGGAAAGAGGAAGAGCAGCGAGCCGTGACGCATATATCGGCACAGTATTCATGATTTTTTATACTTCTATTCTTTGATGATATTGAAAATTAGAAGTGAAGCGGTCTGTGAATCAGTGTCGTCAATTTTAAAAGGACACATTCACAATAATCGCTCATTACAACACACTTCGTTAGATGAAGAAGTACTGTTACACTGGAATGCACCACCATTACATTCAGCTAATTTATTCATTACAAGTTCACTCAACGAATACTTTAGTCATACGAAGGATAGACAATGGCTATTTTATAAAACAAAGTGAACAATATCAAGTTTGGAAACTTGTTTCTCCTGGCTCATTTGTTTTAAATCGTTTACGTAAAGTACAAGTTGGAAGATTACCTGAACCAGAAGATATTGAATAATAAGATTCTTTTTTTCTAAAGTGTATTTGCAATTTGTTGTGTAGTCGTAGTTATTCTTTTTTGAATAAACATCATCTTTTACGGGGATGACTTGTTTTGCATTGAATTCTATAGTGGAGGAGATTTTTCATAAAAAATTTGCCGTTTGGGGAAATTTTTTATTTTAGCGGCAGATTCTGCACCTCTGAATGAAAACCTCTACAGTCGAAAGAATTCAACGTAAAATCCACTGCGTTTATCGTTTTGGATAGTAGACAGTTTCGAACATGTAACGTAAAACTTAAAAACGCTTATACGGTTGCATAACCTGCCAGTTCATACTGCTTTAATTTGGGATACAACGGGGATGGTGCATCGTCCATTGACCCGCGATCCCTACGGTGGCACTGGTTCACTGGTCACCTATGCTACGATGCTAACGTAAGTAGAGTGGATCAGTGGACCAGGAATATGGCGTACCGGTCCAATACTAGGAAAATCAGTTCTTCTTTTAGTTTTCGGACTATCTAGAAGTGGTTCCTATAACTATTTGGGCACTATTTAGGAGCAGTCTTTTGAATTTTTCGGACTCTACTGAGGGGTAATCCCTACAATTTTCTGGTCTCAATCTGCGGATGTTCTTACACTTTTTGCGGGCTATCAGGCAGTAGGGGTGGACCACTTTTTTATTTTGACTTAATTAAGTTACTTTACTAAGTGGTTTTGCCTAACGTTTAATATTAAGTATTAAGTATATATTTAATATTAAAAACAAGTTTGTTTTATTTAACATTTAATTCACTTGAAATTAAATATTAAGTGATCATTTTGACTCAAACACTATTTAATTTCGATTTTATTTCCACACAGGATGCAACAATATATTTACTTTCCCTTACAACTATAAATAAAATCTTGATATTCACAAAACAAAGATAAAATGAAGAATAAATGACGACTTTTGTCTATTACAAAAAAAATGAATAAATAACATAATAAAACCAATATCGCAACTATCTTTTCCAGTTCTACTGCGAGAGTCGTCCCTATAATTTTAAAGGGCTAATCAGATAGTGATTCCGTCAACTATTCAGGTTCTACTAAAGGGTTATCCGTATAACTTTTCTGAACCTACTAGGAACTGATCTCTATAGCTTTTGCACCCACTAGGGGGTGGTTTCTATAACTGTTCAAGTTTTAAAAGGGGGTAATCCGTATAACTTTTTAGGATCTGCCAAAGAACGATTTCTATAACTTTTCGAGGTCTATTAGGCACTAATTTCCATAAACTTTCGAAGTCTACCAGCGGACAGTCTGTACAGATTTTAAGAGCCTGGTAGAGTGCAACTCGCATAGATTTTCCGTGTCTATCATAGGGTAATTCGTATAACGATTTAGGGTTTACTAGGAGGTAATCTGTGTATCATTTTACGGACTATTAGAGGTCTGTCCCAGTCAATAATTAAGGACTACTGAGATATAAACTCTACAAGTTTTTAGGGCCCTCCAGCGGATGCTCAACATAACTTGTCTGCATTATTTTGGGCCTTGTCCCTATACCTTTTTGGGGGTACTAATAGGTGGATCATGAGCTTTTTTACCTCTATTAGTGGATGGTCTGTGTCCTGATTGAATAATATCAAGTGTGTTCTCAATAAGTTTTTCTCGCCTGTCATGCGTTGATCCTGATAAATTTTTGGCAATTACTTAGGGATAAAGCAAATAACTTCTTCCGATACCCGTGGTACCAGACTTTAAAGTATTCGGAAGTCTACGTGTAAATGGTCTTTTTAGCCTTTTGAAGTTCATCCGATGATGGTCTATCAGAAGTTGCATACATTTTTCTCTAGATACTGATCAAAGCATATAGCCACAATTCACGGATATTTTCCAAAAAAATTATCAGTTCTACTCTTTAACAAACCTTCAATAAAGGATAAGAGCTAGATTTCGACAGGTATCGAAGAGTTATGGACACTACACTCCAAGGTATGTTACAAAAGTTATACAAAGGATCTTCAGATAGACTCATGAGAAACATGATGATTATTCCCGAGAAGCTGTAAAAAATTATATAGATTATGCGGAAATAGAACCTGAATAGTAGTAGAGGGTTACCCTAGTACATTCTGACATTTACAGAGCCTACTGCTCAATAGACTGCAAACGGCTATAGGAAGCAATTACTCGTATGTCGCTGAAAGTCATATAGGCTATACTCGAAAATATTCTAGCAAAGGATAGAGACTACTCTAAGGGAAGTGCTAAAAAGTTATAAAGATCATAGACGACGGAGAAACGTCAATTGAGAGGAACCTCAAAAAATGTTCAGATGATAACGAACGAGCAAAAAGGAGGCGGCAAATTAAGTTTTAGAATTCTTTAGTTTTTCCTGGAGAATAATATTGTAAAACAGGACTCTGCGTGAAATGAGATGGGACAGAAAAAATGATACCATGAGATGAGCTGTCGCGACTTATCTCATTGGATGAGATATGTTTCAAAAAATTTGTCGTCCCATATGGAACAGAACATGTCTAAAAAATGTTGCGTTCCGTCCCATGGGACCATACATTTGTCCAACTGCTTATAAACAAAGTACATTTTATTAATACACGTATCTATGAGCTCAGTTTTATAAAATACTATATCGTTTCGTCTTGTATTTCATAATTTTTCACATTTACAAAAGACAAACATGCTATTCTGTATATTTTTCTTTATAGAAAAGTTTTATGTATAAGTAGTTGGCCATCCTTATACGATATGATACTATTCCAGTCTTTTTCGTCCCATCGCATCCCTCTCGAAACCCTGTTTAAACACTATTTTTCTAAATTAGACGATAAAAAGACGTATTACAGTGAAGTGGTGAACAGAATACTTGAAATTACTATCATTTTTCGATCGTTTTTCGATGAACAATACGAGTGTCACAGTCATGAGAGAGAGCTAAGAGTTGCTCAGAAAAAAACTTCTTTCTAATCTATAACAAATTTGTAAGATGCGGTTTAGTGACAAGTTATGTATCAAAACATTTTTAAGCACGGTTTCTTAACCTACCTGACGTTGCAATACTACCAAACTTTCTAATATTTTGTAAGAAACTAGCCATTCAGAATAATATTAGTTAATGAAACTGCTTTATTGACAGAGAAAAAAACGATTTCTATGATTCTGAATTTTTAGTTTAATTTGTGTGCTTTTGTTAATAAGAGCGTCGGGTAACAAAAAATAGTAGACGCTAACACTTTTAAAGAAAAAGTCGATATTTTGAAACGTAAAAAGCGCACATTTTAACGTAAATAGATGTCATTTCGCGAGAAAAAAGTGAGCTGATGAGAGTTAATCCTTTCAAACCTGTTTGTCTCTCAAAAACAAATATTATTTTAATGCATTAGAATATACGCTTTGTACGCGTAGAAGCATCGTCTTTTTCGTCTCTGCCTGCCTGAGCGGTCGAAGAATGAAAAATGACTGTTTTATTTGTACACGCATTGTTTGTGCTGCTATCGAACATCAACGTAGGTGCGACTTAGAATTTGCGTTAGAGGCTGCCACCGAAGATAGCTAAATTTTCAGTTACTTTCTGGTGAGAAAAATATATTCAGTTCTGCAACAAACTGTTGAAGATTGTCTTACAAAACCATAGACTAACGAGAGAAGACCACCAACTACTCCGTCAATTTTGAGTGGGAACTATTTACATCANTAATGTATTGTTGCTGTAGCAAAATGACCATCTTCATGTTTTCCATGATCATCATTTTGAGCACGACGAAGACGAACTGGAGCAGTATTAATATGACGACGACCATCTCTTGATGATGCACGATGAGGTAGGAGCCTAAACATTAAAAAAAAAAACACAAGAAGATCTTATATTAGTACATCTTCACAATTCGATCATCAAAGAAAATTCTTAATTTAATTGAAATTCGATAATAAACATTTTAAACATTGACAACATCCAATTAGGTTTTCTTAAAAAATACTGTTTCATTTTTGGATATTCGCAGATGAACAACAATATAAACCTATTTTCTAATCAAATTTGTACAAACTTAGGTTTTGAGACAAATCAAAATATAATAATTGTCATAATGATATCCACTAGGTTTTTAGTTAGATCGATTTGTTATCAAGATCATTTTTAATCAACATTGATTATAATAAGTATCAAAATGAGCGAATAAAACGAGCAATATCTCATAAAAAACGAGTATGTTAACAATGAAAACCTTTCTGTTAACTTTTAGCGTTTCATCTAAATTCTTTTCTCAGAAAAGTCCTAGTCAAAGAATTTAATAGGTGGTAAGAGAAAGGTGCGGTTGTCTCAACAATGAAAAAAGTTAATGTAACTCAAAAGATGGGCAATGGTTACTAGAGATATCGATCCAATTGAATCTTAATGTTTTCGAGTATTGCATAAGAAATCCTTGATTGCCAAATTTCAATCCAAACTAAATGAATTATATACCAATAGATAGACCATAAAAAAATACTTCAAAAACCTATATAAGAATCCATAGTAGAAACCATCATATGAACTGAATTACAGTTTGCTCCCTCTGAATTGTATATTAGTTGATACAGTCTTTCATTGGATATAAATTTATATATAATTTGTGAAGGAAAAAAGTCTGCTAATATATTTGAAGCAAAGAAAGTTTTGTGTGCAGAGGTAAAAACAGCTCTTTTTGTCCGATATTCAGCAATCTCTGTTGTAATTATCAACTTTTCCATCAAAATAGATATCATATTTGGAATGAGCACAACAAATACCATCGATCTATAAATATATGTTCTAAACTTTTCTCATGACTTTTTTTCAACTTATCTTTTGAGACAATTCTGAAGTGGACCAGTGCTCGAATTTTGATCGAAACAAAAAGAAAGTCATGATTTCAAATAGAGTGTGCAAAGTCTAACTCAGTTCATAGAATGGTTTATACTAAATGCTAACGTCATATTTTAATAGTATTCAACAAGTATTTCAACAAGTGCCGTTGTTTTTTCTGTATTCTTATTAAAATTGGATAATCAAGGATTCCCTATGTAATAATTAGAAAATTGAAAATCTAATCGAGTTCTAAATTTGTAAACATCTACTAAAATAAGTTCATCATCAAATTTACTTCAAATATAATTATTAAAATATTCCAATTTTGTTTACTATAGATAGAAAAACTTATTTGGAAGCAACAACCAACAGGAAAGATATAAAAGTTTCATTCTTCTCATATCTATTTAGTTTGCTCGTGATCAGTATTTGAAAAGAACTAATCACTCGAGAAATATTTCTGAATGTTACTTAACGTTGTAAAGATCAGATATTTCTTAATTCACACAAAAAGCAAACATATTAAGTTTCAAGTATTCAGGATAGCACTACATTTTAATGCCATATTTGCAAAAAAAAAGTTAAAGATCCATTAATATAAATCGATTTAGCAAAAAATATCATTATCATAGAACTTAAAATAATTGTTCAAGTATGTTTATGAATTTGAAAAAAAAATTTCAACTAAACTACGATCAATTTATTCACTAACACTCACTCTATTGGCTACTCAATTTCGACATGAACAAGATGAGTTGTTATTGTCAAAGATTTGATTTTCATGAAAACCTGTTTTTTTTTTTTTTATTTCAGAGGAATCACTGGTAAGAACAAGGCTAATTTGCTTGCGGAAACATGTATCCAAAATAAACGATTTTATAAGATAATTTGAAAACTGGCGATAGAATTAGCAAAAGATTTTCTTTTATATGATTTTAATTATTTACCGATAATAAAGTGTTGTTCTTTTAATATCATAACCTCTTTGTCTAATTTTTTCTCTTAAATCATCTAATGTTAAACAAGGTCGAATAGTTTCTGATCGTCTTCGATCATCACTTGCTCCACCAACTTTTGCAATTTCTTCAATTATTTGTAATAAATCAGGACATTGTTCTTCAATTCGTGGTCGACCACCACCAGGACGATAAATTTTTTTTAATTGTGGATGTAGTTCAGGTTTTGTTTCAAATAAATGTTCAACCTATAAATAATGAAACAATAAAAAAGAGAAGAAAGAAAAAGAAGAAAAAAATGTTAATACAATTTTTCTTCGTTTAGTTCTATATCGAGTTGAAGCTCTTTGTCTCGATTGAAGACGTCTTATTGCATAAGTTTTTGTTTTTCTCTCTTTCATTAATTGTCTTAATTGTTTTCTATTTTCTGCTGTTAATAAACCCATTTGTTTAACCTGTATTAATGAAGCAATTCGGTCATTAATTGCACTTAATTCTTTATAGGCTCGTTCTTGTGCCGGTTGTCTTTTATCTTTAGGTAATGGTTCAAACAGAACATTACCTACAGATGATAATGCTCGTGGATCTTCAATCGATTCTTCATGACCTAGTTTACGTTTTTTAATATTATAATTTTTTTTCTTTTTTTTCTTTTTCTTTTTTTCTTGATTTTCATCATCGTCCTCATCATCATCTTGATCATCTTCGTCATCATCAACATCATCGGAACCATTCGATTGTTCGTCATCATTTTTATTTTCATTATTATCTTGATTTGTTGTTTCATTTGATTGATCTAGTTTGTTTCTTTTTACTCGCCGATTACGATTAGCATTTGGTTGGTTTGAAGAAATAGATGATGGTTGATGTTCAAGACCTTGATTAGAAGATGCAATAAGTTCATTATATGTTTCTAAATATTCTTCGATTTTTTCTTTAACATATTCTTCATTCCATCTTATTTCATTCCATTCAACTTGAGCATTATGATGTTTTACCTATTTCAGAAAAAAAAATTTGATTATTTATTTTCATTAAAAAATGAACTTACACTTCGTTTTTCATCAGGTCGAGCTTTCATATACGCTTCAACAAACGATTTATAAAGACTTGGACCTTGAATTTTTTGACTTGGTTTCGTAGGCATGACGAGCTATGTCAATCAACTAAAAGAGCGCAAATAATGACACTCACGAATAATGTATAAAAGAGAAAGAAAACGAACAGGACAAAAAAAACTACTACAAGCAGTAAAAGAAACTTGCCGACGCATTTTCTGTCTCTCTCTCTCTATCGCTTATACATGGTAACAAAATAGAGTAACTGATAGTCATTTCTTTTTATCGAAGCTTTTGATGATAACGGCGCCATGTCTATCTGACAGAAAAGAACACAAAACAAAAACCAAACTATATATAAATGGATCAAATCACGGCAATATACAACTCGTCACCAATCTTATTAACAGTTAGAACCTGTCGGATTTGTTCTGGATCTGATCGGACCCGGGCTTGACTCAACAGTTATTACTCTAAAAGTAAAAGTCAGTTGTGACCGCATTCTTATACGATCGTCGTCAAGATGCCCTGAAAAATATGTGTGGAGCGTACTAGTTACTAAATCTGAATAAATGAAAAAACTATCTCGTGTTTTCGGAGCTATGATCAAGATGAATTTAAAAATTTTATTGAGAATATTATGAGTTCTGATAGGGTTCGAGTTCATGTCTGAAAAAATTTAATGAAACAAGTACACAAATTTTCGACCCGACGTACTCAACTAGTAGTTCATATAAGAAAGAAAAAGAAATGTTGACCTTACAATGCAAATATAACGTCGTCCTCCATGCTTTAAAGCAGAAAAAGTCTCAATCAAGAGGAACGAATACGTCAGATTTTTTTTCTTTCCTCCATATGAATGAAATATTTATATCTTTCTCTTTCGTTTTGTTCCATTAAAATAAAGGTGAATATGTTCTTGCTCCATAGGCATAACTGAGCATTTGATCATTATTCGAAAAAACAAACTTTCACTTAGTTTCGTTTGTCTGAGAGATTTATTCATATAAAAGGAAAAATGCAATTCTATCTTTCATCTTGTCTCTCTATTTAAAATATTAACATTTTCTTTAGTTCAAAGTCTTTCGTTTATAATAAACATACATTTACTAATCAGGAATACAAAACAAAAAAAAATCTATCTATATGCNAAAGGGTACAGTAAAAAAATTGAATAGAATGTCATTCTGTCCATGATTCTCAATACAAGTTTTGTATTTGCTTATAGGCTTTTCATCATAAAATGTAAATAATTTGATTTCATTGAATAATACAACAAGTGATGTATTCACCCTAGACATTGCAGGTTGAAGGAGTGGTTGAAAAGTAGACAACATGGTTTTTTCTATGGGATTGATATAGTTTTTTCTTGTCTTATTAATATACGATGTATAAAACCTCTGCAATCATTCGAATGAGAAAAATAGTTAACAAGAGGAGCAACTTTGAGATTATCGAATATGTTTTGTCACACAGTAGTATAAAAACCAGAATATTTTTAAAATATATATTTTAATGTATCCAAATGTTTTATGTCCCAAGAAACATATTATTTGCAAAACAATCTCAGGTACCTAGTCTTCAATATATTATTGAAATATTAACTAGATTTATCTTCCAACTAACAATTCAAAAAAGTAAATATTTTGCTTCACAGGCAAAAGCTCAGTATACGAAGCAAAAGCATAAAACTCTTATTACACTTCGCATGTGAGTCTATCTTGAACAATTAAACCTTCTATGGATCGTCATTCTTTGTCTACGACGCCATCAACCATGCATCAAAAGGAGTCATCATCCAAGGATTTCGACAAGTTAGGAACACTTATAGAATCAATTTCTATTTATCTATTGATGAAGCGTGTGAAACTTTTTCTCAGCTATCATTTTTCAACTGTACGAACTGCTATTTCTTATCGGACTCAAAGAAAACGCGCTACCAAGATTAACACAAAGTTATATCAGACGTCCATTTTCATGCAATCGATCATTATTGAATCTAGTTAACATCTTTTTTGTGCAAAGTTTTAGATAAAAATTCGAAAATACGGTCATCCTACAATTGTGAAATTCGATAGGAGAAATTTACTGAAATCGTTCGATCTTTTCAGAAACAAATTATGCTCATAAATTCGTTTTACGGTAGACATATTTCACTGATGTCTACAAAATACATTAAGCCTTGATTAAAATCTGAACGAACACTTAAGAATGTTTCAACACAAATATTTCTTAAATCTCAAAATTTTCTTCAATAAGAGCATTTCATCTGTTCATGTTCATCATACTTTCACTGAAATATGAATGTTATTTTTTTTTTCGACATGATCTATTAAATGTTTATCTATTTATACAAGTTCATAAATGATCTGTTTATAATAGAAAAAAAAGACACATATGGCAATAAAGAAAAAAAAAACGAATCAATGCAAAATACCATAAATAGAAAGAATATATGACATAATTTTATACATTATGTTTCATGTGATGAATAAAATCCACCAGGATTTTCATTTATTTCTGATGATGATATTTTCATATTTGAAAACATCATCTGACTAGTTAATCGATTCATTTTTTCAAGACGATCCTATTTTTTTGAAAAAATAAATATTAATTAACATTTTTTTTTTAATTCAAATAAAAAAAATCAAATTTACTCGTATTATATTAATATCATTTTGAATTATTTCATGATCAAGACAAAAATTATTTATCCATTGATTAACACCATTCATATGAGAAAATATCATATTGGCATAGGATGGCAATGGTGGTTCAGATGTTTCAATTATTTCTTCAATTGGCGCAATTGTAACAATCGGCGGAGATGGTGACGGTGACGGTGATGGTGTACATGTTTGTACATCAACATCACGAGTTTTAATTGATGGCGGTGTAGCAAATAATGTTGAATCTATAACCTAAAATAACAATTAAATTTATCGATCGTTCTTAAACTTCAACAAATAATTATTAGAGAAGTGTAAATGATACAATTCTTTAAATGAGAAGTAAAGTTTTGGTAAAAAGCTTTAGAATAGCAGAGATTGGATCGGTTCATGGCTTTTTTTTATCACCCCACCGAACAGATCCTATCTCTATGAGACAATCGGAAACAGTTCTTCAATACTTTATATTTGAGTTGACCACCGTTTGACACTAGTAGACAGAGAGTTCTGGGATATTTTTCATTCTATTCACTTATTAACTGTACTTCGATTGCCAGTAATATCATTAGAAAAATCATAAAAGGAGCTCTGCATAATAGATATATTTTCATTTTCTTGATCATAGATGAGAGAAATCGATATGATTAATTTTTCTTTGTTGTTAACTAATGAAATGATAGTTAATTCAAGACATACTAAATCCAATCCTGAACAATGCTTTGCTACTACATTCAGTCGGAAAAAAGAGAATCATTCTTATTCTTTTCTTGTTATTATATGTGTATCTTTGTGAATCGAATCAGACAAAAATTCATCAGTACGCTAGCGGTAGTTCGACAAAGGTAAATTATGTCTTTTGATCTTATGAAATAAAATAATAATTACGAAAATCAACAGAAAAATTTTCTAAAATATGGTATCTGAAAACAGATTTTTGATCGGGTAGGGTGACTTTTAGCTAAACTATTCCATGATATAGAAAACTACGCTAGAGGGATCGATGTGAAAGACATATAAGAAGTGCTAGCACTTTTATTGTGAGTATGTGAATCGTCTCCTTAGTAGTAAGCAAACCAAAGTTGTATTGGTAGTAGTGTCCTGCAGCCGGGTCGGGTACCCGGCACCCGATCCGACCCGGCCTGGGGTTCGGGTACAAAGTAGCCGGGTCGGGTCGGGTATAAAATTAGAGCACATTCGGTACCCGACCCGGCAGTGACTGAGATCTGAACATGAAAAAATCTTTTGCTTTCCACGATCGTTATTTGTTAAAAAAAGATACGCGTATCAGATCGATTCAACCATGATTCATCAATGCATTATCGTAGAAACTAAGAATCAGAATAATTTACGCTAGCAACAATAACATTTTCTGCTTTTCATGTTGAACTGAACATTGAAAGAATTCATTTGTAACTGGTACACAATACTATTGTATTAAATTATACGTTCAAAATCGTGAGAGTTCAAGACTGAATAATTTACAATATTTATATTTTTTTCTTTTATATTTGCAATAGTATACTTTGTAATATGAAATAAAAGTTTGAAAAGTATGTCACTTTGACAATAATAGTTAAATGCTAACTGCCACAAGGCCGGGTCGGGTGTCGGATACAGCTCTCCGGGTCCGGGTTCGGGTTGGGCCCGAGTACAATAAAAACTGTCGGGTCGGGTCCGCGTGCAAAAAGTCGTACCCGTGCAGGACACTAATTGGTAGCTTCCAGGTATAATAGAAGCCGCCTGTAAAACTTTTGAATACTTAGATACTTTTTAGAAGCCTCGAGAATTTCTATAGCGATGAAAAAGAGTTTACCCTGTCTATATCTTCACTTTCAAAAAAAATACAGATATGCTATCATTTTTATATAAATTCAACGAAACATGATATTTACCTCTGGATGTGTTCGTTCTTCTTTTTCGACAACAACAGGACTCAAAACAACTGAAATATCAGTGTCTAATAAAAGGAATTTTTAGAAGTTTTTTTTTTAAAAAAAAAAAAAATAATAATAACCTTTTTGTTGTTCTTTGGTTGGACTTGATGTTCTTGGTGGTTTTGGTTCGGGTAATAACTATATTTAAAAAAAAAAAAACTTATTCATTAATATTGAAAAGTATTAATATCTACTTTTAATTCATCACATTTTTGAACAAGTTTTTTACATTCTTCAATTAATTGTTCAACATATTTTTGATTAGTATTTATTGTTTTTTGAGAATAGAAGAAAAATAATTTATCTTGTTTATTTCCCTGAATATTTGTTTTATTAAGTGAATCTGATAATTCCCTAGAAATAAAAAAATTTTCTTTTTGTTTTTTTTTTTATTTATTTCATTCTGTATTTTTTACTGATTATTTTGATTTGTTTTAGCTATTTGAAGATATTGTATTCCATATTGTTCATAAGATAACGCAGCACGTTTAGCATGATGCTCATAAGAATTTTGAGCCTTTATAAAAAACAAAACAATTTTACAAACAAAATCGATAATTGATGAAATCAGTTGCCAATCGTTTTCCTGTAGATTCATTAAACTTTTCAAGTGCTACAAAATAGTATTTATATATAAAGAAAAAAAAAAAACACTAACCCTTAAAAACTCAAAGGATACTATTTGGCATACATGAATGTTATGCTTTTTCTAAAATCTACTGAATATGAGTGAAAAAAAAAAAAGAAACATAAAATCATGTCTTCAAAATAGTATTCGTAGAATTCTTTTTTTAGAACAATTGTTTTTTGTCTAAATATTTTTGTAGCGTTCGAAAAGCTCTATCGAGATCTACAAAATTTAGTCTGATCGATCATCAAATTGATAGATAAAAATGCTGAGTACCATCAACAACTAGATTCAATATACGTATGACTGTCATTAGCTATTTCAACCGAGTTCGATACGACAAAAGCAAGTGCGACAGAAACCGATTTCATCAGTTATCCTTTGAAATTTATTTACTGATTTTAAAAGAATTCGAGCAGTTTCAAGTATGATTAGTGTTGGTGGATATTGATATCTACGTTCATCATCAAGACGTATTGTAGCAAGATGATCAATAAATTCATTCCATGAACTAGAAAATCAACAAATATGAAATTTTCTATGCTATTATATTTTTTTTACGTTTGTTCCATAGCTGTTTGCCACCAATTTTTTTGTTGTTGTGTACATAGATGAGATAATGAAAAAAGTAAATATGGATGTAATGTTGAATTACCACCATGTAAATGTATATTTTGTTGAGCACATAATAGAAGAAAAACCTCAAAAATGAAATGAATTGAAAAATACAAAGAATATTTTATTTTAATATTATTTACAATAACATCTCGTTCATTTAATGATTCAATATTAATTGGTTTTTGTTCAAAATCAATTGGTGATAATGAAAAATGTTCACGTCTTGTATTATAACTTATAACTAAAAAAAAAAACAAAAAATAAAAAATTTAATATAAATTTTAATTCTTACTTTCAAGTGATATTCGATTAGATTCGATCATACAACATAATGTCCATATATAACAAATTAATTGTCGTACAAGATTATTTTTGACTAAAAAAAAAAAAACAAATATTCAATATAATTAATTTGGTTTTTGTGTACTCAAAAAGTGAGTACACTACTAAAATCGGTCAGTGTGTCCGGCCGTTTATTTGATAACTCTTCACAATTACATTCGATTGAGCTGAAATTTTGTGCACAGAATTGTCTCATCAATATCTAGGTCGAGTTCGAAGATGAGAAGGATCCGTCAAGAAATGGCTGAGTTATCGAAAAAATTGTCATTTTTGATCAGACCATCCCTGAGGGGGGGTACAGGGATTTTTTTCAAAAAAAAAATTTTTCTCAGAATTATCCACAATATATATAGATCNAAAAAACAGGTTATGGATGTTATCATCTTCAAAGTCGCTTTTTCCCCTCAAAAAAACCTTTTTGAATGTGTAAAAAATCCACAATTTTGCTCCTAAAAACGCGTTTCTGTTACTGATTTTACCGGCCTCGGATGTTCTTCATCTAGACAAGGAAGAACTAATGATGAAGATAGTCGTAGTACTTTGAATGACATTAATATATCTTTTTTGACTAATTTTGTTATGTTTTCATCTCACTTGATCATTCGAGTGTTATAACTGGAAAGTGATTCGCTCATCTTTCTGTCCTATAAGTGATATAAATCTATGTGACAGATATTACGCTTTATTTTTCTATTTACTAATGTTAAAAATTAAGTTCTGGTAAATCGAAAAAAAAAAATATCGGAGTCGAACTTGTAACTGACTCCGACTCCGACTCCGAAAATTTTTGTTTTTTCGACTCCGTCGGAGTCGGAATCGGGTTTCGGAGTCCTCCGCAGGTCTCTAGTTAAGACTGAAAAAAAAAACATTCCTTCATTTTTATAAGTGAAATATATTTACATCCCATTAAGTTTTCGTCTGTTTATCTAATTCGGAAGCTACAATACTGATTAAGACTTGGGTATTATAACTTCTATTTTTAATTGAAATCGATCTTAACTTTCTGATCTGAACTACAGCTAGTAATCTTGGTTGGATCAGATTCCATAGTCTTTGAATTAGAGTGATGAATCATCAATTTTATCCGTAAATGATACTACAGTTAATTAAATTGAAGAATGAGTATAAGAAAGATTAGTTCAATTGCAAAATATTTTACAGATTCGGCACAATAAATCTAACAAGTGATGAACCACTATAATATACACCTATGACAATAAAGAAAATAAATCGTATTCTAAAGGTAACGATGCACGAGAAGAAAAAAGACTTCTGTACCACATTAACAAGAGGCAAGAGACTAATCTATAAAATGATGAGATTATTTAATATTTGGTTATATGAAAATGTAACTAATTTGTTTTTAACGAAATACATATGTAAATACGTAGTTCATATAACTATTCGTTTGAGGTATTGTATAAGTAAGTCATAACCAAAAATAAAATCTAATCTGCATTACAAGTATAATACCTTCTTTTTCATTCGTTCTTCGGATTCCTATGATATATCTTTTGAGGGCATCTATAGTTTGCGTTGTAACAATATCTATATTGCGCGTCCCGATGATCAAGAGAAAGACAAATTTTTCGAATTTTGTCACAGAAATATATGTCTCGAGATTTGTTTTTAGCAGAAAAGAAAATTTTTTATCGTTCTTATGTTCATTGAAAATTCTATTGCCGAAACCTGAAACTGCTTTGCACTGCACTTATGTATTCCTTTGTCTGTTTTTTATTCTATTTTTTTAACTAGATATGCATGTCGAAAGTTATTATTTTCTGTTGCGATGATCTCGAGACGGAAAATACGCAGATAGACGATCTTTTACTGTCTGGTTTACGCATTAAAGAAAATAAAAGTTGTTTTAACAGCATGAATTTGTGGAAATGTAAGAGGAGTACAAAAGCATATCTGAGTCCCAACAAACTAAGTTCTATCAAATGAAACTTAATATAGTACGTTGTTCGAAGTTTCATCCTCTGTTTACAAAGACATGACGTATCAAAGTTTGCTATATATATTTAGTGAGATCTACACTTAGACTGTTGCTAAGACTACGGTAAGCTTTTTAATCCTGTTATTCATAGCGTAAAAAAAATTATGCAACATAAATGCTATAATTTATTTTGATTTCAAATATAAGGTTTCTACAGAAAGAGCTTTTATGCAAGTCCAGACTGTTAAAGTAATTTCTATAGTCACACATTTAACATGATTATAATCCATACGAAGACTATGAATGTGGTCCGCGGATATGAAATTTTCTTATGCTGTACACTGATGATTTTGCGAAGCAAATTGAATTCATTTTGGTTCTTTGATAATTTGTTGTTTTTTTATGTGGTAAAGTTCTTTCGTAAATGTGTTGTGTCCAAATTGCACAGGTTGCATCGGAATCGATTCACTCAGGTTCGATCGACCTGGAATGGAGGAATAATTTCATGCTGATATTTCGTCGAAAAAAATTATAATTTACGACGCTCCTAATCACACTACGTATTCTTCAATGTCGCTTGATTTCTGGATATTTTTAATTCTGTTTTGAGAATGAATACGAATGAAGATAGATCAAACAAAGTATAATAGTAGAACTGAAATGTATTGAGTTTAACTAAATAGTCCGAAGAATGAACGACAAAGTACTAACCCTAGTTAGAAATATTTTGTATCTCATTGATGTTTGTAGTGGTTCTCAAGTAGTATTAAAAATCAGTTTTCGTTTTACAGATGTTATACACAAACTAGAGACATCTATCGTTATGAATTTTAATCTTTTAAATAATTCAAATAAAATGTAAGGGAAAAATGAATAAAAATTTGAAACAAGTTTCTGTTTATTCGATGTACATCGTATACAATTCATTTGTTTCCATCTATTGTTGGCACACAGACGATTGGCTGGCATGATGAGTCATCTGAATGAGATAGTTTAATCATTTCAAACATGTACATTTCACAGTACTGGCTGTGTAGCTTGCATTTAATTCATAACCCTATTCAGATGATATTAATCTTCACAATAGTCTTCTCTAGTATTGATCTATGCTTTAAAATACTTTAAACAGTTTCGATTGATTAACTGATAATAGAACAGCAGTTTTTCTGACAAAGTATGGCTTTCATGTCAGAGACAATACCCTTTTAACCGCTATGAAATAATACAAAAAATTGTTGTATGCCATGGAATTAATATAACAATAAAGTCTATTTACATATTAAAATCTAAAGAGTTTAGATAGGCAACTATTCTTTTTAAATCACCAAACGAATATTAAAAAAAGCATTTTTGCTATATGGCAAACTTCAGCAGATTAAAGCAACTTTTTATAAATGAATCAATGCCGCCAGAGAAGCGCGTTATAAAATAGAAGAGAAAACATTCTAACAACTATATTTATTATGTTTTTCTCTCTCAAAAATTTCCATTGCCCGATGTGAGTAAAAAAAAAAAAAAGCTATTTTTGTTACCAAAGTTTCGAGTTTGGCATAGCTATGCATTGTCCAGTGTTCATTTTCGAGTGATGAAAACAACAGATCGCTAGTTGTTTGCATTCTAGAGCTATTCAACTTCTACCGATATACATTCTATTTTGAAATGAATAGTAATTGCATTTGAATAACAAGTAAATATTCTTATATTCAGAATAAGAGTTGAGAAAAAATTACTAAACTCTTGATATTCATCTTATAAAACTATACATTTTATCTCTATCGGTATTTCGTTTTTCAATGTATGCAACAAAAAAAGTCATGAACAAACAAAAATCAAGATTTGAAACTAAAATTCGATATTGCTTCACTTGGAAATTATGAATAAAAAAAAAAAACGAAAACTTTAAAAATATTGTTTGGCAATAGTTAGACAGACGTAATATTATTGGTGATACATTTTGTATTAAAAGTCTAAGATAAGACTAACTTTTGTCTACGAACATACGAATTCGATTTGAAATTGAGTTTCAAGCTTTACATACGAAAGTTTCGATTAACAATATAAAAGAGATGTTGTCAAACTTCTATAGGTCTCTTTGATGAATCAATCCAATAAGCTTCATATCATATTATAGAGTATCTCGATTGACGCATTTTATTGGTACAATATATAGACAATTTGTCCTTACTAATTCAAATTGTATTTATATGTATTTTCTAGTCACACTTAAATCTATAGCGAATAATTAAAAGTTAAAAGATCGTGTTGCTATTGTTACTGGAGCTGATAATGGTATTGGTCAAGGAACTGCTGTAGCTTTTGCAAAAGCTGATGCAGATGTTGTTATTACATATAGATCAGATGAAAAGGGTGCTAAAGAAACTACTAAACGTGTTATGAAAACATGTCGAAAAGCATTAGTAGTAGTTCAAATCTATGTTGGAGATGAATCACAAGTAAAGAATTTATTTGATAAAATATTATCTGAATTCAAACGACTCGACATTCTTGTAAATCATGCTGGTAAGTTATAATACTAAAATTACAAGACAATATTGTATAGTTGATATTCATCAATTGTTCTATCATAGCCAATGTTATTTACTACATTCATATCTTTTTCGTATACGATTTATTCGGACAGGCCGAGTAAAAGCTTAATTCAGTTGTTTAGAATAAAAGTATTTGTTCAAATGAAAATATATATGATTGTAAAACAGAAGATCTTTATTACTAAGAAATAAGACTGTTGCTTTTTCTTGATAATATTTCTTTGCTAAGAAATTTGTAGGTTTTTAAGCTGAAGGTTAATTATTATCAGAAATCATACGACAAGTATCCATAATTTCTGTTTTTTAATATTTCAGCTATAAATTAGTACTTGCATATACGTAAGTTTTAATAAAGTCTTGTACACAAAAGTGAATAAAAACTAAAATTACACTGATCAGATCAGAAAGTGTTCATATTTTATTGTCGAAAAATATAATAGAATAATTCATCTCTCTGTATCATGATTGAAACACGCAAAAGTCATTAGATACTACCAAATACATCTATTTCCTTTCTCCTGATGGTCAATACACTATGAAACAGAGAATACACGTTTATATACAAATCTTACTTTTGAAACTGATAGAAAGAATAAGCGAGCAATCAAGCAACCATCCACTCTCTTATATTCACCATCTGCTTGAAAAATGCGGAAGTTTACATTGAAGCATATCCACTATTGTTCATTTCAGAATTAACCCTTTGAGGCCCAGTGGGATATATATTTCCCACCTTGAGAATTTTGAAATCTTCGAGTTTTCGAGAATCTTGGAGAAATATTTTCAATATATGTTAGAAGCTAGCAGAGGTCCGTACAGGATTGATTGGATAATAGAGTGTATAGATGACATTGAAAAA